AGTCGCCAGTTCTCATCTTCCAGCTCCCCAGATACTCCGCGTACTAAAGTTGTACTAGAAAGTCGCCAGTTCTCATCTTCCAGCTCCCCAGATACTCCGTGCACTCAAGTTGTACTACAAAGTCACCAGTTCTCAGCTTCCAGCTCCACAGATTGCTCCGCGTAGTTGTACTACTACAAAGTCGACACGCACGATCTCCGCAGAGGGTTGCCCGCGACCGGGACAAATCGCACTCTCGCCTGCATTTCGCGCACTCGACACGCACGATCTCTGCAGAAGGTTGCGCCGGACAAAGCCAAATCGCCTCTCGCCTGCATTTCGCGCCCTCGACACGCACGATCTCCGCAGAGGGTTGCGCCGGACAAAACCAAATCGCACTCTCGCCTGCATTTCGCGCATCCGACACCCACGATCGCCGCAGAGGGTTGCCCGCGACCGGGACAAATCGCACTCTCGCATTCGACACGTACGATCTCCGCAGAGGGTTGCTCCGGACCGGAGCAAATCGCACTCTCGCCTGCATTTCGCGCATCCGACACGCACGATCTCCGCAGAGGGTTGCTCCGGACCGGGACAAATCGCACTCTCGCCTGCACTTCGCGCATCCGACGCGCGCGATCTCCGCAGAGGGTTGCTCCGGACCGGGTCAAATCGCACTCTCGCCTGCGTTTCGCGCCCTCGACACGCACGATCTCCGCAGAGGGTTGCGTTTCGTGGCGGTCCGGCAGCACTGCCCCCTTAAGAGAGAAAGTTAAGAAGAGCGAGAGGTGAAGATGTGATGTAGATGAGAGGTAAAGATGTGAGATGTAGATGTGAGGATGTGAAGATGAGCAGAGATGTAGATGCGCAGATGTGAACATGAGCAGAGATGTAGATGTGTGAAGATGAAGATGAGCAGAGATGTCGATGTGAGGATGTGAAGATGTGCAGAGATGTAGATGCGCAGTTGTGAATGTAGATGTGAAGATGAGCAGAGATATAGGTGAGAATGTGGATGCGCAGAGGTGAAGATGTGAAGATGTAGATGAGACGTAGTTCTGCCGATATTTTTTACGAAGAACCCTTCGCAGGCGCTCTCGGGAAAAACAGGAATCTTGATCACCCTCAGCCTCAACTTCCAGAACAGGAAACCTGCGCTTGTGGAGCGCCAGGGCGCTTTTCAGTTGCTCTTCGCGCAACTCTGCTACAGTTTGATGTCAGACCAGGAAGGAAAGCGTGGCCTCGCCAAGACCGTATGTTGGCAACTCTTGACATCCTCATTCATGGGTCAACCGTCAACCCCAAGCAATTTAGTCTCACACCAAGACTGATCCGTCTAAGCACAAAGGCTCACCGTGCCTAGCAGACATGCCAGGCCCGCGCACACAAGCACCTTAGCGGCAAATCCCATGCCCTCATATGCAACTGAGACATGCTGCCAAGACACCCCTGATCGAGCAGCTCTCATGCCGAGTATGGATAGATGTGGCAAAATGTAAAACTAAATCTTTGCTCAACTGAAAGTCTGAAAATTGGTTTCAAAGCGACTTGTTCTTTGCTTGGCTGCATCATGGCTTTCAGCCGGAACACTGCGCTTGAAACACATGCACTAACATTATGCACAAACAGGCGCAAGCACGCAGTTCTGTTGAACACCACCTGAAGCCGAAGTCGAATGAACTGCACATTCCCAACAGTAGCTAACAGTAGACTTTGCGCTGCTCGTCTCAAGGTGCTCCAGGACTGCCCGAAGCTCTGTTGGCAATGGCGCTTCAATTCGAAGCTCTTGCCCATGCCAGTCCAACAACCTCACCGGGCAAGTTTCCACTTTCAAGCGGGAGGGCGTTGGAGTGGAAGCTCCGGGTGTGTGTGCGCGCCACACCCGATTCCCAGGGGTCTTCCACCATTAGCGAGGGCACACGCATCCATGACCCACTGTGTTCAACGAAGCTACGGTCATGATGGGAAGGGAAAGCTGATCACCTTCCTGTAACTGCTCGACAACACACTGACTCCACTGGTCCACCCTGCTGCTTTGTTTTTCCCATGGCGGTTCATGTTACCTTCCCCCCAAACCTTTCCACTGGAACTTGCAGCCGCGCTGATCTTGCCGACATTCGCCGCGCGTTTTTCACCAGATGTTAAACACCTCCAAATCAGCCGACTCTTCACCTTGCCGTTCATGCGGTAACTACACAGTCAAGCACTTGACCTCACCGAAGCTTACTTGAATGAGCCCTCTATCGAAGTGTGTGTGTGTGCGTGTGTGTCAACTCCAGTCCCTAAGGAGCACAACCACAACCACATTAACTCAATTCCACCTTAATCCCTCTAGGTTTGCAGCTGTGGCAGCTGTTCCCTTAGCCATGCCAGCGAAGCTATGGGATTCAGACGGAAGGGAATGTGGACGCACGTTCCTGTACCTGCAAATTTTAACTCTCCCTTCTTTTTGAACAGTTGACTACGCTGTGACTCTCCTTTTCGAGTACAGTGCTAGCGCGTCCGCGTCCTTGTTGAAACATTCTGTTTGACCGACCCAGCACTTCTTGCCGTTGAATCAAGAATAGCGCTAAGTATTCACCTAAAGTGCTAGCTTCACGTCGTGGAAGTCATAAGTGATATAGCTCTTGCGAGCATGGATCTAAGTGTGTGAGAAGCAAGTGTTGACCATGTTCGGCAACAAAGTGTCCATGGATGTCCATGGTAACAGATCGGGTCCTCTGGGACCCTGGTTGACCTCGCAAATGAGCGAAGCGGACGACCATCGTTGTGGGGGACGAAGCGGACGCCAATCTTTCTGATTTTGCTGGAAAAAGAGAACACTTGTTGCGTTCAAGAAGCTCCAGCTGTTGGCAGTGAAGGAACAGGCGAGGACACCAAGCAGGAACACAAATTCCATATTGCCCTCATGCCACGGGGCATCAGAAAATGAAGAATTCAACAAAAAGCTGTGCAATCCATGCCACTAACGGACACAAAAGCATCACATTCCTCTGCCAGATGAGCCACTGCAAAGAGTCTCAAGCATGTTCAAAGGACTTGAAAGGTCTTGAGGTCTCAGCACAAACCAACCTTCGACTGCCATGCCAAGGATCTATCTCCAACAATCGGGTGGCCAATGCTCGCCATGTGAATCCTGATCTGATGCATTCCTTGGCATGCCAGGACTTGAACATGCATCCAGAACTTTTACAGCGTGTCACTTGTGCTTCAACTCATTGTTAGATTAATAGACTCTTATTATCTCTTATTTGTTTTGTCAACATATTTTAACATCCTGCTCCCTTATTCATGCTCGTGACTTGAACCCAAGCCTCTGCCTGTTTGTGGCATCGCCCAGAAGAGTGTGTACGACATCATATCGTCGCGTGGTTCACTGACATCACCTGGAAGCTCCTGAAGAGTGTATCGCGCCAGAACCTGGTAGGCTGTCATTGCTTCCTGCCCCCGTTCATCACAAACAGTGCGAGCGCTGGACCCCTTGGACCCTGCCATCACCAGCAGGGGAGATGTAATCGAGCCCTCTGCCTTAGTTTTTGGGAACCCAAGAAGCTCCCATCAGCACCATGAAGAACTAGAAAGTTTAAAGGTGATAGAATCTGATAGAACATCAAGCACCTTCAAGCATGCAATGCAATCAAATGCTATCCAATGCTTCAAGATGCCCCTGCTTGCTCATGTGGCCCATGACACAGGCAAAGATACTCCTTCTTGACCAAATGTGCTGCAAACTGCGCCTTGAACCATCTTGCCGTGCTGCATTGCTCAGCACCAATCGCAATGGGCAGCACTCCAGATGTTGGAGCATCCAAACGAGAAATGCACGTCACGGGTCCAAAGTGATGAATGGCATCAGCCAGCCTAAAGTTATGGAGACATGTTCAGTACCGGTGAGAAATTAGCAAACATATAGAGGAAAATAGCCGCTAGTGGCATAGTTTTGATGCTATGCAACCTAAACCATTTCGTACCAAATTTACCGCTCTCTACTTTCAATCGACTTTCCAGCATATGATGTAGTTGGACCAACAATGCACAATGCTAATCAAGCAACACATCTTCTGTCAGCACGCCTGATGGCTTGCTCACCGCAACCAGGCCGTCTGCATTGCAAATCACTTTCACCCCACAAAGCTCCAATTTCACGTTCACTGATCTTGTGTCTCCACGACTTTCGGCGGAGTCTCCACAAATGGCTGTGAGACAGTCCACTGCAGCAGCACGTCCCAATCGGCGCAAGACCGCCCCTGTCACAGCACCAACATGCATGCCATCTTCAAGAACCTTTCGGTGCTGCATATCATGCAACAAATCAAGTGCTTCTTCCCAGTGTCCAGTCAGCTCACAGGCGTTCATGGCTGCGCTGTAGGTGAAGGCATTTGCTTGCAGGTCTTCAGCCAGCATTTTTCGAAGTAGCTCCAAGGCAATTCTCCATTCGTTGCTGTTCGCACAAGTTGAGATGGCTGCAGTGTAACACACACTGTCTTTCGTTACCCTATGCAGCGGCATCTCCTCCAAGATACTAGTCGCAACCTCCCACTGCCGAGAACAAGCTGCGATGGCTGCGCTGAATGGAAATGCATCCAGTTTTGCTTTTGATGCGAGCAAATCTTCCAAAATTTGACAAGCAGGGACCCATTCGCCCGCATTTGCGCAGGCAGAGATACAGGCAGCATAGCTTGCACAGTTGAGATCGGCCCCAATTCGAGATTGAGACCACAGAAGGTCAATGGCTGCCTCCCATTGCATGGCCTTTTCACATGCACTGATCACTGCACAAACACTAACTGCATCGCTCCTCATGCCTCTGGACGTCATCTCGAGAAAAAGTGTCAGGGCCTCTCAGGGTCATTGAAAAGAACCTTAAGATGCCAAACAAAATTCCTGAATCCCTACACATATCTACACATCAATTTCAGATGTTCAAGCGCTAGTCATAGCATGCGACAGCGCCGGGACATGTGTCCGGCCTCTTTCCACTGGCTTGCATTGCCACATGCAGCAATTAAAGCACTGAAAGCGATTTGATCCGGGTAAACCAAGCTTTTCCTCTCCATCTCTTGGAGGATCTCCAGGGCCCTTGTCCAACATGCTGACGCTGAGAACGCAGAGATCACCGAGCTGAAGGTCACCAAGCTTCGCTGGATCTGTTCGTCTGCCATGGAAGCCAAAAGCTTTGAGGCCATGTTCCACAGGTGGCCTTTGGCACAAGCGTTGATGGCGGCGCCACATAAAATTGTGTTCTTCTCAATCCCTTTTTCCTCCAACTGCTTGTACACAAGCAATACCTCCTTCCACTTCTGGCCTTTACATAATGCACTCATCATGGTGCAATAAGAGAACGAATCTGTCGCCAAACGAATGTCAGACATGGTTGCCACCACGGCTATGGTTTGCTGCCACTCTCCCGATTTTTCGCAGGCATTCGCCTTAAAGGCACAGATCAGGGATCCCTCAGGACCATATTCAGTCGCACCCTGTCAAACCAAAAATCACCAACTTTCTCTGAGTCACAACAGAGTTGAACGCGATTTCGCCCGGAGGGGACTTCATCGGAATGCCCAGCAAGGCCAAGGCAACCCTCCACTGGTGCGAACGAGCAGAGGCACTGAGAACAGGTCCAATCATCTTCGTATCCTCCGCTTCAAGGTCAAGTCATTTTCAAGTCAGGTCAAGGAGGTTATCTAAGCCTTGAGGGCTGCACCTTGGAATACCACTCCAACTCAGAACCATTCGTGTGCAGTGAATAGACTTCCAGGAGTCAATTTCCTTTCATTCAACGTTCCTGAAGGCCATGACTTCCAACGGATGAAGGTGCCTCTCCCTTCCACACAGCTTGGAGGCTCACTGATATCACATATCACCTATCCTCAAATGCTTGCCCAGTCTCCAGCAAACACTTTTTGGCCCAAGTACGTGCAAGAATCGAAAGAGCAGCCTCCAGGTCTAGAGCGGACAGAGTTTGACAGTCTGACACCATCCACGCCTCCCAGGATATCTTGCTGCAATCGCGGACTTCTTGAACATCCGGTCGGCCTGGAATGAGTAGTGCGAAACATGTCTCAGAAACCAAGTCGGCAAGCTAGTGGCACTGCGTGTCTTTGTCGCAATTCCAACAGCTGTGCCTGCCATCATAAAGATTCCAAAGGTAGCTGCCCTTCCTCAAATGTAGCCCACCTCCTGCTGGAGTCACAACAGTTCTGATGCCCAGCCAATGTTGTGTTGTTGCGGCCAGGCTCTCTCTTTAGTAAAACCTCATTGTTTGAGTGCACGCTAGCTAGCAAATACGTGGATCAATATAAGCAACAAGCATCGATTTTGCTGGGTTACACTCCACAACACAAAACGAGTGCCCAGGAATATTGGGAACAGGACAAGGCCACGTGTGACTCGAGGCAGATGGCGTTGTCTCCTTGCTACTTGGGGGTGCAGTGCTTTGTAGGAGAGTACACGTATATCTATGTGTATATATACTGCTGGCAATTGTAGTTCAGGCGCCTTGTTTCGGAATGATGTTTGTGTAGCGTATGTGTTGGTATGCTTGAACTCCTACATTGCTGTGCACAACAATGTTCAAAAAAATAACATATAAAACTGGCTTGTGCCAGGAGCCAACCCTTCGAGCGAAACGAAAAAAACACCTCCGCTAAGCTTCACTGATAGCGCTCTTTTTCAAGCGCTCTGCTCTTGAGATTCAAAGGGCAGCTTTGACGAAACAGCTTGGTTCATGTGCTTTGTGTCATGTCAAGGAGTCTTCACTCCCCCTTTTCGAGCTCGTCAGGGCCCGAAACATCTATGGTCAAAACAGACCTTGCATGAGGTCCTCACCATCAAAAACAGACCTTTCAAAGATCTGCTCAAGCTCAAACTGCCCTCTAGTGGCCTGCACAGCGAGTGCAGGGAGTGTATCTCAACAGGTCGCCTCTCAACTGGGTGACATGGGCTGGAGCGCCCCATCCCGCAGTCCAGATGTTGAAGCCAGACTGGATTCCCACTTTCTCCTTACATTCTTCACACCAGACGGACTGTCTTGCGATTCCAGTCCGTGGTGCTTTGAGGTAATCGCAGTTGCGATTTTGGTGGTATACCTTCCCATAGCGCGTCGTGAGCGCCAGGCGTTCTTCTTCTTCTTGGCCTTGTGCTCTTCCAGTCTGTTCGTGTGTCATGCGTCCACGGCTCCCTCTTTGGGCAGGAGGAGGTGGAGCACTAGGCTGGGAGCTTTCGCCTTGTGGATCCGGTGGATCTCGTTTCACTGCTCTCACTTCTTTGATTCTTCCCCAGTCCCTCTCAGGAAGTTGTGGTAGTTCGTGAGGGCGAGAGGCACTGTGGCTGAGTTGGAGTGTGAAGATGCCTGAGACGCTGAAGCTGAGTTGGAGTGTGAAGACACCTGAGGCATTGAGTGGTGATGGAACACCACTCGGCCTTTGGACCGGTTCTTCTGCTTCCTCATTCTCTTGTTCTTCATCTTCTTCGGCTTTCAAGCCTTTCATCATCTTCATTTTCCTTTCTTCACGGGTGTCCAGGGAGCACTTCCCACCTCTGCTCCGCAATCACTTGATGAGCGGGTCCAGAGAGGTAGTACTCGCTCCTTCAGGCATCCCCATAGGAGAATGGTGAGGATGATGACGATGATCAGGGTGTATATGCCGATCACCATTTCGACATTCAACCATCCCTCGTCTTCTTCGTCACTTCTTTGGGCCTTCGCCCCAGTCATCATCGCAGCGATCATCAGCAACTTCAACACGATCGCGGCCTTTTCGGCTTTCTTCTTCTCTTCACCTCCTCCTTGGGATTTGATTTCCTCTTCATCGAACCCTTCTTTTGGTTCTGACTTCACCTCTTCATTCTTTTCTTCATCTTGGATCGCCTGTTGGCTTCCCATATTGAGCTTCCTTAATTTTCAACTCTTCCAAACGGCCTGACGTCAAGGCCTTGGTTCCGATGTCCGCGACCATATGTTCGCCAGGAACATGTCCGATGTTCCACAGGCGCTGTTGGATGGCCTGTCTGGCAAAGGCCGCCCGGAGCCGCAAATGGCGTGTTAAATTCAATTTCCTCGCACGGCTATCAGTCCAGGCCATTCGACTGACTGGGCCGAACAGTTCATCTGCAATCACCCCGACTGCTTCACCTGCTATCATTCCTTCGATCACCTCATTCAATTCGGCCTCTGCCGTGGAGAGGGTGATGGTCGACTGACGACCTGACCTCCACAAGATCGCCAAGTCGCCGAGCTGGACGCTGGGACTCTTCTGAGTTTGGAGCATAGGAGGCGTCAGTGAACACCTGGACAGAGATCTCTGTCTCCTCTTCTTCTTCATAGATCAGTCCTTGGGCGCGCGTCTGCCAGAGGTATTCTTTCAGGTGTTGCGCTGCTGTCATGACGGAGTTGGTGCCTTTGAGCACACTGGCACCCATTCTTGATGCAGCAAACATGATATCTGGCCTTGAGCGCGTCACCGACCATAGGACTTCTCCAACAACTTTCTGGGCCGCTCGGATCTCTTCAATCCTGGGCTCTTCTTGGTCATCTGGCATCAGGGATTGATCTCTGGTCATTGGAGTCTTTCTCCCCCTCCATGAGGAGGTCGGCCAAATAAGACTGTTGAGTCAGAATCCATCGATAGCGGCCAGACTCAGAGTTCAGCTCTCATGCTAACTTCCATTCCCAAAAACTTCACTGGGCGGCTGGTGATGTGGTCAGGTGCTGAGGTGACCCAAGTGGGCTGGACCTGGATCTTCTGCGCAACTGCTTTCTTCGACATGATGTGGTCCAGCGACAAAAATGTCATCAACATAAGTCATGACCAATCCCAGCAAATCAGCTTCTTTTTCTTCATCATGGTCATCCGAAAAAGGGACGACCTTCCAGAGATTCGGCTCCGAATCCATGGCCATCAATTGAGCCTTCTTCTTGGGAGCTTCTTCTCCTTCATCGATCACGATGATGAACTTCTCAAGGGTCTCATCTCTATGTTCTCCCCAGAGCCGAGGAGATCGTCGCAGGCCATAGACAGCCTTCTGCGGGACAAAATATGTGTCCCTTTCCAAGAAGCCACGTTCAGCGAAAAAGGCAGGAGGCAAAATCAAAATCAGCTGTTCATCTTCCTTTTGGTTCATCTTTGCGTTCAAAAACGCTGTTTTGACGTCCAGCGTACATGCTTCCCACTGAAACTTGGAGCACATCCAAATGAGGATTCGGAAGGCTGCTGAGTCAGCTCCAGCTGAAAATGTCTCTTCACCTGCATCTTTCGACTCAAAATTCCACAAATGACCCATCGGACCTTCTTTTTATGGCCTTTCTTGTTTGGCTTCCTGGTGAAGACAAGCTTGGACGGCAGAATTTTGATGCGAATTCCTTTCTTTTTGGCTTCTTCAAACAAACCATTTCCATTGGTCTCTTTTGACCGGTTGGAGGGCTTCTTTTTCCACGATCAGTGAATCCACCTCCTCCTGGGATGGCTGCTTCCATTGGTCCCAGCATCGGGCCACCTCCTTTGGTGACACTATCCTGGTTTGAAGCACCTCTTCATCATCATCTTCTTTCACTTCAATAGTCTTTTTGACTTCAGCCAACACCATCATAGTGAGGAGCGCCAATTCCGGTGGTTCTTCGAAGACCTTTCTCATCTCATCATCGATGATCCTTTGGGTTCTTTTCTCACCTGTCTCTTGACTGGTTTCGACCTCAATTCTCTTGATGGTGGTCTTCTCGCGGAGGCGTCTCCTCGAAGTCAACCCATCCAGGAGATCTCTTTCGAGGGCGATCCAGTGAGCAGGCGTAGGCATTTCTCCCACCTTCTTGAAAACGCTTCTCGTGAGGCGAGCTGTTTCTCCCTCCTTCATGATCCAGTGTCCATGGTTTTCCGGCGATGGACCCAGGTAACGAACACGATCCATGGTCGGTTCGAACTCCCTCTTCTTCCACCTCCTTTTCCTTGTCAGCACCTCCTGCATGAATGGAGGGAAGGCCACTGGTTCACGAAGACGCTTCATGCGAAAGACTTAATTCGTTGCAGTATCGAACTGCCCAAGGCCACCATTTTGAATCTTCACCCGCGTTGCGCAGGATTTTTCTCACCATGTTCTTCACGACTTTGACCGCGTTCTCAGCTCGGCCATTTGACTGAGGTTCATCACCGGCTGTCTTCGTGAGCAATGTTCCTCGGCGGGAGCACCAGTCAGCAAAGTGGCCAGCGAATTCATGTCCTTGGTCGGCATGAATTTGATTCACACTGAATCCATCCATTCGGAGCTTGGTGATCATCTCCATGGTTGTGCGAGTGACTTCTCGCGACTTCTTTGAGTGCATTGGGAGTGCCACCCGGTAGACCTCAATGCGAAAGTCCTTCGGCACTTCTTCTGCTTCAGCATAATTTCCTTCATGGATCTTTTCATCATCTTGATCCTTTTCTTCATGGGGTTCCTGAAGCCTTGGATACAGGTCTTCTCCTGCATCCTCCTCAGCGTCAGTGAGGCCCCCAAATCTTTGTTCTTCTTCTTCTTCTTCTTCTCCTTTTTCTTCAATTTCAGGCCACTCCCCCTGGGGTTCATCTTCCTTTGGTTCATCAGCTGCTGGAGGGGTTTCTTCGATGCTCAGCGGAACAACCCAAGCGAAGGTCCCG